TGCCAAGGCTACTCACCTGTATTGCTCATGGTTATGTCCTGGGTTAGCTCTCCAGAACAGGGTGTGGTCACTTTACAGGTGAATTTGGTGCCTTGTCCCCATTGTGCCAGCGACACAGGGTGAGAACTGACCAGGCTGGTGGTCCCGTTGCTGTTCGTCTTGAGGGGTTCTGTCTTCGCCGCAGAGCTGACTTGCCCATCCACTTTCCATGTGATTCTGCTGGCTGCTAAGTCATAACCCAGAAATAGACAGGTAACATGACCAGAACTTTTGATGATGTCTTCATAGGAGGGTTTGGTTAAATAGATGGTTGGGTCAAGTGAGCTTCTGAGGCAGGCTGAGAAATGCAAAGAGATGTCATTGACCAGTTCAAATTATGTGGAAAGACAGAAAAAGACTATTGAAATCTAATCTAATCTATCCATCCACCTCCATCAGAACACTCATAGTCTCCATCCCATCCATCCAGCCATTGTATCTCTTTCTCTTCCCATCCACCTACAGTACCAGTTTCTCTAGGGTACTCCTATGTCTCCCATCACACTGGTGTCTAGGTGCAGTCCCACCTACCCTTAGGCAGGGCTGGTTTCTGAGTAACTCTCCACCCCACCTCCCTGCCATGCACGGGCGTAGCCCCTCACCCAAGCACTTGCTGGTGTTGTGCATGGAGAGCTCTGTTCCCACTGCTGGGTGGGTCACTTGACAGGTGTAGACGTCGCCCTTCTCCCAGCTCTGCTTGGTGACGTTCATGCGGCTCTGCCCCATGTAGAAGCCGTCTGTGCCCATTGCAGAGGAAAAGGCCGGGGTGGGGGGGCTGCTCTCCTTTCCATTCACCAGCCATTTCACGTCGGCTTCGCCGGGTTTGAAGCTCAAGAGGAGGCAAACCAGCTCCAGCTGGCTCTCTGTGGAGCTGTCCTCGCAGGTGGGGGCCAGCAGGTGAACCTGGGGGGGCGTTGTCGACCCACACGCTGAGAGCAGAGAGAGGGGAAAACACAGCCCAGTGTCACGCTCTGTAGATCCCCAGTCCCCTTCCAGAGAGAGTGCTAACTCTACAGTCCTCCCAGCACTAGCAAAACCCCCACCTTGGTGTGGTACATTTACATTGAGTACTTTAATCAGCCTCTAGGGCTGAGATTTTTCACAGCCATGTAAGGGATTAAAACAAATGGGAACAGGGCCCTTAAATCATCTAGGCAAATATTAAATGCCTCCGTGCATTGTTTCTGCACGTGCTGCATGGAGTGTGTTCTCCCTGGTAAACAGCAGGGACAAAGCTGGAACTTGAGCTGTGTTTGTTTATTTGAACTAGTTTTCCTCAATTAATGTCCCCTATTTAAGGGGGACTGTGGCACTGTATAGCATGACATTGCATCAGAAGAAAACCTGGGAGAGGACTGACTGTGTCTCACCACGGATAAAGGGTCAAATCCTCAGCTGATGTAAGTCTGCACAGTACCACTGACTTCAGGGGAAATCAGATGATTTAGACCCATTGAAGTTCTGACCCCAGAATGCCTAGGTTTGCTGCTCTGGGGTTGTATCCATTTCAAAAGATGCCCAAGAACAGCCAGAGTGCAAGAAACACACACAGCTCCATGACAAAGAGGTGTAACCAGTGCAAGCTTGTAAGGCGATATAGCCCCTTTAAGGCCAGTGGTTGCTGGGAATTGTAGTTTCATGGGACGGCTTGCTGCAGTCTATATAAGGGAAAGCTTCTGGCTCAGTGCTGAGGAAAGCGCCGGAGAAGAAAATCTCTAGATGTGGACCAGGCAGGAGGCCTAGGAAACATGCAGGAAAGGTGACCTAGTGGGAAGGGGGGGGGTGTTCCTCATCCAGCCGGCTGAACGCTGGAGGAGCCCCTGGTGGCTGGGACCCTGTGCTCTGAGTTGCACTAGTTTTGCTTTGAGGCTTTGGACTGACGTGGCGAATGGGCTTTGTTCTAGTCTGGGTTTGGGTGAGGATGAGGGTGAGGGAGTCAGGCAGTGAGCCGAAGTTTTCCCCTGTACAGAAGGGCCAGCATGAGTCTTAGGTGCCATTTCAGCCCATCTGCGTGTCTTTAGGCAGGGCTGAAAATCCTTTAGGCAGGGCTGAAAAATCTCCCCCTTAGTGGAACATAGGTGTCTGCCCAGGGGTGCCTTTCACCTGAAGGTCTTCCTCGTTCAGGGGTCCATGGAGGGGGCGCTGGGGGCAGGAGTTCTAGAGTGACAAAGCACCAGGGCTCAGCGTGTTTCAACACTGGGCCAAACTTTCCCCAGTCGTTCAGGGTGAGATTTTTCCAGAGGCACCTACGGGATGTGGATTAAGATTAACTGGCTCCCAGACCCTCTAGGCGCTTTGAAAATCTCAGCCTGGCTGTCCCGTCCTCCCACACCGCATGTCTTACATTCCTGAGGGAACTTCTTCGACACTGTCTTTGCTGTGCCTTGAGGTGTCACATCGCACTGGTAGGTGTCGCCCTGCCGGGACCTGTCAGGGAGGATCAGCAGGCTGCTCCGGGTGTGGAGCCCGTCGCTCATCGTCACCTCTGGGAAATTCTTGACCCCCTGGGTCACTTTGCCAGAATTCCACGTGATGTCCACTGGTGATGGTAAATAGCCAGTTACGAGGCAGGCCAAGCTTGTGTCCGGGGGAGCACTGCCAGTCTGGGTGCAGCAGGGAACCAGGGGGAAGACGGAGGGGGGTGTGGATTTTGCTGGAAAAAGAAAGAGAATATAAAAGAAACCATCAAAAGGGGGAAAATCTGAAAACCATGTCACTGATCAACCTACATCCGTCTATCCACCTCCTTCTATGGCCCGGTGGCTGTATGGCCCAGTGGTCAATTCACTGGAAAAGGAGTCAGGACTCAGGTTCTATTCCCAGCTGCTGTGGGACCTTGGGCCTGCCGCAGACCTTCTCTCTGCCTTTAACTTTCCATTGTGCAGGGGTGTCCTAGCGATGGGCGAAAAACACGAGAAATGGGATTCGGACCTCGGCTCTTTTAGTGTAAACCTGGAGCAACTCCCGTGGAATAGCTCTGGGTTTGTGCGAGTGATGCTGACAGGAGACTCTGGTCCTTTACAAGGCACAAATATTCCCCAAGCGCCTCACAACCTGAGTCCAGCCCTCCTCAGCTCTCCAGTGTGAAGTGAGCATCATTACCCTCATTGAACACATGGGGAAACTGAGGCATGGACAGATGACGTGGCTTCCCCAAGGTGACAGAGGGAGTATGTGGTAGATCTGAGAACCGAAGCCAGCTCCCTAAGGCCCTTCCTCTATCTGATGACAAGACCATTAGTTAAAGCTAGGGAAGAGCCCTCCATGAGTCATGGATGGATGAGACAACTCAACACGCAC